TTCTGAAAAGTGCCCGTGAACTAATGTCCACCATAGCTTGATCAAACTGGTTGGTCAATAGTAAATACTTAAGTACCTGCCAAGTACCAGAAACCATGTTCATCCACGTAAGATATCTATTACATAGACACTGGCAGTCTAGAACTATGATTTGACTTCCTATCTTCTGGAAACTCAAAACTCCATTGCACAACCTTTTCTTTATATCCAAGCTGTCACTCAGAGCTTCCACCATATATAAATAAGCACCCAGCACATCTTAAAGCACAAAGTAAGTCTGAGATTATGGTGGTTGTGTCTGTCCTCTGGAGCTTCACAAAGTGAAATTGGTACTCTACAGTGACTCCTCAGAACTCAATTGATCAAAAATTTCCACTGCTTACAGAACCTGTGACTCTTACATATTCTCATCTAACAGATTCCTCAAAAATATGAATAATGAATGTGGCCGGATTTATTGGTAAGCTAATGCCAGAGAATGTTTACGTGATTTACTGGGTCTATCAAAGTTTAAAACTAAATTGTCCTGACTAAAACATGTCTGACTATATATAAAAGCCACTTAAGTGGAGTAGAAGGCGACATGCTGTAGTCTGGAAGCCAATATTTTTACTTATAAAACCCAATTAAAAATATCCCCCCGGATTTATCACAGTCTTTACTGTAAATATGCCCCACCCCATATAGTATCCTATTCTAACTCTATTCTCAACGCACATCATTCCCAGAACGTCCCCACTGTAATCTACTGCCCATTAATCCTCAATCACAAACCTCAAAGATGGCATTCTTTCAATTTTCTCAGCTGACACCATTCCTATCCCTTGTTTAAAAGTATAGCCGGGCTCTGACCCAAGTTCTTTTCTCTTATACTTAAGAACTTGTCATTTATTTTACCCGCCTCCCCCTTTATGTTCCTGGACAATCCACGTTACTAACAGCACAAAAACTACGTGTGCTCTTTTACAAACAGCAGGGTTTTTTTGTTGTTGTTTTTCATGTGACTCTTCCGTCCTAGCTTCTCTAGTCATTCAATTCTTCCAGCTTTATGCTGCCATCAAGTATCAAACTCACACAAACTCCGGACAGGCCCAGCAGACACCATACACTACTCTCCTCAACACGTTCCAATCCAATGTGAAACCTTCCCTTATATCGGTCCCTCCCAGTAAGGAGCCTTTCCCGAATTCTCAGCCCAGCCTCAAAGCTCCAAACTCCCAAACTCTGCTAAGCACCATCCCAGTCCGGTTACACCCTCTCCAACCTGAAATCCCCACGCCTTCCGGGGCCTCAATCCCCAAGCCCAGAACTCGCCCCACGCCGGGCATCCATCCCGTCCGGGTCCCTTCGGGGTCCGTTCCGCCGGCCCAGCCAGACCCCTCACGGCTCAGCCTGCTCCCCGGGCCGGACTCTCGGGAATCCAGGACTCCAGCTCCGCCCCCGGCCCCTCACCGAGCAGCAGCAGCTTCACTTCTTTGGCCGCTTTCTCCCCGTCCTCCCGCAAGTTGCGGTCAATCATCTTGCTCCGCTCCACCGCCGCCTTGTCCTCGGCGCTCAACGTGCAGCCCATGACGGCGGCGGGAGAGGGGACCGGGTCCGGACTCACACACCGCAGAAACCACGACTACACCGGCTGAGCCGCGTCTTCTGCTGGGCGGTGGCCTTCTCCGTCAGCTCCCCTAGCGCCCGGAAGAACCGGATGTCTGCTGTTTACGACACTTCCGGCGACGCCCGGCGGCCGTTACCATTTAGAGCACGGAGGCGGTGGGAAGCGAAAGAGGTACGGAAGGCGGAAGTCCCCGAGAGTCTGGCTGCTCCCGTGGAGGGATGGAGATCGGTCGCTCCGCACCTCCCAGACTTAATACCTTAATTCTTGGGCTCTCGGGCTTGGGTAAGCGTAGAAAAAGAGGGACTTCCAGCTCGCGGTGCCCTCTTGAGGTCGCACAGAAGGTTTGGTGGTGAGGACCGGATTCCTAAAGAAGAGCTCACAGCCGTCTGGAAATTTCACCTGGAAAGAGTCTCCCTGGCCAGAAAAACCCTTTTGATCTGTGATTATGGAGTCTGGGTCTCTGCCCGAAGCCGAGTGTTGGGCACTTCAGCCAAAGTTGTCTCAGTCTGATCTTTGAGATGGGAACAAACTGCCCAGCCTGGCTTCCGTCTATGCCTCGTGCGTCCTCCTGCTCTTAAAAGTATATCTTAGTTCTTCTGCTACTACTGTGAATTTCTTGTGAAATTTCTTGTGAGCTGTACATTTACCTGGAACTCCTATTTTGGCAAAGGATCACTCGACTTCTAGCAAATAATAGAACATGGAAAATAGGTGCCGTTCATTCATAACATTTCCATGTTTCCTTTTTTCCAATATAAACCAAGGGCTCTACATTAGGGACTTAGTCCCATGCCCAGAAGCAAACCAGTGCATCCTTCTTGAACGAGAGTTCCTATATGATAGCTCCAGAAAATGGGAAGTTTAGTAAGTCTCTCCAGTATCGCCAGAAGATTTGTAAATAAATTACAACCTTGTGAAGGTAATCCTAATATACCTTCACTGCCGCTTTTAGGAAAGGTCACCTTTTTTGCAGCCATTGAAACTTTCCCCTGGAATTTAAAATTATTTCTCTAGTAGAAACTAAACATAAACTACAAATCCCCAACAGAAAGGTCTGTACAGTGAAAATTAATTAGAACCATTTAATCAGAAGATTAACCCCCATCCACTTCACCATAATGCTTATCAATTCCAAGTCTGAAAAGTCACCCACTCATTTCCAAGTGACCATTAAAAAAGAAAGAGGCTGCTTTTCCTTTATGATCACTTCTGGGGGCGGGGTTGGGGGGGAAGCGCAAAAGGAAAGGGGAAACACAACATTTATTGAATACCTATTTGCCAGGTATGGCTAGGTGCTTCCATGTCTCATCTCTTAATCCTCACAACAACCCTGTGAGGTAGGTAATATTGGTCCCCATTGTCACAAATGAGGAAATAGGCTCAGAGAAATTAAGCAGCTTTCTCGTGTCCACACAGTAAGTACATCTACCCGATTTAAACTCTACACCTATTTCTACCAGGCCTCTAGAAGGTATTGCTTGAGGGTGGATACCTGACAACAGAAAGTCTTAAAGGTTTTACCTAGTATGGTAGTCACCCCAATACCAAGTTGTAGGCAACAGTAGCTGACAAGACAATGGTCTCATTCTGTTGCTCCAAGAACACCTTTGAAGAACTAAGGATTGTATATTGAACTTTACCAATACGTTTTGGTGACTAGGAAATTCCTGGAAGGTGGTTATAGCAAGAGTTGTGGAGAAAGTTCTCTGCATAATAGCAGGGAAAGTTTTACTTCCTTTATGATCTGTTCCTACAGCCAGGAAAAAAAAAAAAGGCAAGTGAATTCTTATATGCCAAACTTAACTAGTTAATGGCAGCAAGATCTCAGTGTCAGGTTATTTCAGTATGAATTAGAACTATCCTTGCACTTAAAACTTTTATGTGAAGCAAGGGTTGAAGGGCAAAGCAAAAAATAAATAAACTTAACAAAATGGCTGCCAAGTAATGTTTTACACACACCACACACAGCCATTCAGGCCTTTCCTGTTTTTACTGGGCTCACACTGCCATCTTCTGGCAGTTTCTGGGTCTACTAGCTGATTGGTGGATTAATAGTCTACGAAAATTTTTTCCCTTATGATGCAGTAGGAGATTTCTCAGCATGAGTTCATCTCAGAAGAGAGGGAGCAATGGTTTTGGACATAAAAACATTGTCCTTGCTGTGTATATTTTCTAAGAGCTTTCCTCAGTGTAATAGGGGATAGACTAGAAGAACACATAAAAGATAGGAAGAACGAATCCTGGAAATTTACCTAGTCCAAAAGGGGAAAAAGCTGTTTGCCAAGTTTAATTTAATGGGTTGTTTCCTCACTAGAGAGATTTGTTTACACTCCCTGCACTTTCCACAACCTGCAGAGAGGCTTAAGTGTACCACTTAAGTGAATTCTCAGAAGTCAGAACCATGGATAGATTCTCCATACTGCACTACTTTATTAGCCCTACATGATCTACCAAAATACAAATTTCTGATCAAGTTAGACTATGAGCTCCTTGAAGGCAGAGACCACACATCATCTGTGTGTGTCCCAGAGAATGCTGACATTCAACTATGCATTGGATAGAACTGAAGGAGTCTGTTGATATCAATATAACTTTTATCATAAAATTTATTGGTTGTCCAAAGGGGAAACTACTCCACTCCAACACACTTTCCCCCTTTGTTTTTCAATGAACCAGAAATTTGTTCAGGTATAGACCGTATCACCTTCTAGTTCTACCTTAACCCTTTGGTTTTCAATTGAGGGAAGTGGAATGGACAGGAGGTCCCAGATAGGTAGCCTGTCCAGCTTAAAATTAATCCCTCTCCATTGCATACTAATACCTTTGCTGATACCAACCAATATGGTTCCTACAGTCTTAATAAACAGCAAAGCCTAACTCTCTGCCCTCTCTCCCACCTAGGGCTGCAGGTAGGAGACACCTTTAAGTCTTCATCACAGAAGCTAATTTTGAGAACAATGAAAACAGGGATGCATTTCATGGACTATGTAAACCCCGCCCTTCCCCTTGCCCAACCTTAGTCTCCTGTACCCGATTGTCCAGGGGGCTGGAAGTGGGTCACTGCCATGAGGAGAGAGATCAGGGAGGCCAGTCCTGGAAAGAAAAGATTGGCAGTATTATTGATCAGAGTAACTTACCTGGCCTTTCTGTATCCAGCCATGTTACCAGTTCAAAGGCTAACCCCCACCCTCTGCTTTCTGACCCCCAGTCATTCTAGTTACTCAAAAGACAGGGAGGAAAGGGGCAGCCTGTCTCATATTTGTCTCTGCTGAGATCGGGACCCATACTTGATCTCCTACATGCAGGGAAGAGAATAGGAGAGAGCTGCAGAGAGTTTTCCTGTCTTCTCCACTATCCTCCTTGCAATTTTCTCTTGCTACTGGACAAATCCAGGAAAGAGCTCACCCTACTGGTCTACTCACTTTAAGATAAATCATATACATTAACTTTTAAAAAGGAATCTATTAACTCATGGTAACACTTGGCTACAGTTTTGTTCTTTTTTAACCTAGTAAGTAAATGAGAAGATGTGGGCCTATTCTTTACCTTGTTTCAGTGTAAGTATTACCCTGAACTATTATACCAGAAGGAAGCAAACCTCAATGGTCCCCAGAATAACTCTGCTCCTAGCCTGCTGCTCCAATGCCTACCCTTGGAAAATTTCCCTGTCTCCCGAGGCATGACAAGTTCACTGGTAGAAAGGTGTCGCCTCACCTTTGTGGCCCTTTTCTCTCATCATCGTCTCACCATACCCAGGTTCCCTCCCCCAATAGTCAAAGATCACAGCCAAGTCCAAGGTTTTTGCCACATGTCCATCCTGTTGACTCTGGTCCTGACCAAGGAAACACGAAGCAAAAGCTAAGTCCGGAGACCCCAGCCCAAACCCCAGCCAGATGGAAAAGACAGTCCTTAAGACCATAAACCAGCCCCAAGCCTTCTTTCCCTCCAAGTGTCCATCATGACTCCAGCCTTTGTGATGGGGCAGGACGGAGGTAGCTGTCCGACATGATGTCGCTGGTGAGTTGCTGTTCGAGGAACTCCGAGGTCTCCTCAGCAATCTGGCCTGGGATTCGAAAGTCAACAGCAGGTGGTGGCTCCTGCTTAGGGCTGGGCAGGGGCCTGGAAACCCAGTTCTCAGAGGTCCCCTGGAGGAACTGCAGGAAATTCTCTTCAATAGAGCCCTCCCGACTAGGCAGCCTCAGCTCCTCCTCTGGAGCGGCCTTGAAGAAGCAGACAAACTGTTTGCTAAGCTCACCCCGGATCTGACGGTTGAGACATCCATAGAAAAAAGGGTTGGAAGTGAAGCAAAAGTAGCCAATCCAGGTCACCACATTCTCCACCTGTCCTGTTGAAATGGGCTGAGCGCTCAGGGCAACGTAGAGATGGAAAGAGAAGTAGGGCAACCAACAGAGCAGGAACTGCCCCCCTACAGCCAGGAGGACCACTGCTGCCTTCCCACCCCCAAACGTCCGGTGCGGCGTGGTCTGGTGAGCCCCAGAGCTGGTGACCATAGTAGAACGGCTACTGAGAGACTCAGAGCGCTGCCGGGGTGTCTCCATCCATGTGGGCAGAGGCCCATGTTGCATGGCAGCCACAGATCAAGGGCAGCAAGAAGTAAAGGACAGCAAAGACCACCACAAAAAGCTGGCAGTAGGCACTATGGCTCCATTGGAGAGAACAGCCTGGGTTAACACTGGGAGCTCCTTCCTCCCAGGAGACCCGTCCCAACACTGGCACAGACGCCATGGCCAGGGCCTTTATCCACACGCCCACCAGCACAGACGCCACCAACCTCAGGGTCATGCGTACCTCATAGCGCATGGGGTGGACCACATAATAGTAGCGTTCCACATTAATGGCAGACACTGAAAGGATGGCCAGGCTGACAAAGCAAACACTCAGGAACAAGTAGAGGCGACAGGCCACCTCTCCGAAGAGGGCATGGTCAAAGAGGGCAGAGCTGGAGAGCATGGCCAGGGGCATGAGGGTCAAAGCAGCCAGCAGGTCCACCAGACAGAGATGGAAGACAAAAACAAATTTTCGGAGGGCAGGTGTTTTGGCAATAACAGCCATCACAGCAGCATTGCCAGCCACAGCAGTAAGGTCCAACAGGAGCATGAAGAAGAGAGCCACAGATTCTGAAGCCACGTCCTGAAGGCCCAACTCTGGGACACCGCTGGCAGTAGAGGGGCCTGGGGTTTGAAGGGCTCTTCCCAAAGTGGACGAGTTTCCTGATGACTGGGGGATGGATGAGGACTCCATGGGGCCGAAAGAGGACACCCAGGGCACTTCCTGTTACAGGCCCATCCCCCATCCTACTCCACAGCCCTGGGATATAAAGCCCCAGGCCTAGGCTTCTTGATTTCTTTCGTTGGGGGCTTTCCACTGGAGTCTTCAGGGCAGGCCCTTATCAGCAGCCTTCCAAGCTGGGCTCCTCTGTGGTAGTGCCAGGCCAGGCAGCTCTGAACTCAGGAGCTCATGTCCAGTTTCTGTCAGGAGGTAGCCCCAGGGTCAGCCCTGGCGATGAGAAGTAGCCGACAGGCAAGGGATAGATTGTCACATACTTGCAGTATTCCACCTTCCAAGTGGTCTAGGATACCTTTTTTCACACTTCCTTTTCTAGTTCTCCATGCTTTTCTTCTCTCTTGAGGGCAATTCTAAATCCTCTGTCTCCCTTCTCCTGGGTCCTGCTGAACTCTGAGACAGTGCCCTGGCTTTAGGATGGCTGTGTGAATTTTCTGATTTTTCATCAGAATGGGGAACAGGAGAATAAGATTCAGCTTCTAGTTCCAGGTCTAGGCACTACTCACTCTGCAACTCTTCTGGACTCCAGTTTCCTCATGAAGGCATCTGTGAAAGGAAGGAATGACACCTAGTTCATAACTGTTCACAAGGTCTGGTTTGATTGCTTAATAGCAGTACTGACCACATAGAATAATGCTTACATGGTGCTCTGCACATGCCAGGCCCTGTTCATGCACTCCATCAACTCATTTCCATCCTCATACAATCCTGTGAGACAGATGGTATGGTCTCCATTTCCCCACAGAGAGACCTACAGCCCAGACAAGTTAAGGAGCGTCCCCAAAACCACACAGCACGAGAGAGACAAGTTAAGGTAGTCTGGCTCAGGTACAATTCTTTTGCCTACACTGTGCCATTCTACTCGGGAAAATAGTCTCCATATTGACTAGAATCTAGGTGTTCAGAAACTCATTGTTGAACCTGAGAAGACCCTAATGTCTCTCACTACTATAAGGCTATCACCTAGAAAGGACAACTGTGCTTTTGTCCCCACTGACATCATCACTCTCCAAACAAAGAACTGCCAGTTTGGGAATAATGAGGGAGCTGCAGTGAAGACAGAACGTCCAGCTGCAAGGAAAGCCAACTCATCTGCTCCTGAACTCCCAAGGCCAGAGGGCACATGCCATTGAAAGCTGTCCTGCCCTACCTAGTCTTTCATTTGTTTTGTTTTATTTTTGAGACAGGGTTTCTCTGTGTAGCCCTGGCTATCCTGGAACTTACTCTGTAGACCAGGCTGGCCTTGAACTCAGAGATCCACCTTCCTCTGCCTCTTGAGTGCTGGGATTAAAGGTGAGTGCCACCACCACTCAGCTCAGCTCCTTGCTCTTCAACTTCTCAGAATGTTTGCTGCTATGTCCTGGCTGCAACAGTTCACCCCAAAGCCCTCTGGGTTCTGGTCTCCTCCCATGGTCACAGAACAGAGGGTGAGAGTGAGTGTCCTTGTGAAAAGGTGAAGGCACTGGGGGTGCAGGGACAAGGTAGAGGACTTTGATTATAGAATTAGGTACTCATAAAGCAGAGAACACCAGACTAAATCAGCATCTCCCATAGCTCCTGATCAAGTAGCAGGTTGCATCTGTTTTATGTGTCATTATTTACTTTGAGTTTGCACATAATTGAAATAGGTTGGCCCCAGTGTAAAACACACACACACACACACACACACACACACACACACACACACACACTAATAATACAGTTTGCTAAGTTACACAGCATAGAGACAAGCCACGAACATGTAAAGTCTGATGGCCATTCTATAAACAAGTTAAAAGTTTTCTGGGCCACACTTTCAGCAGCTGTGGCTTGGGAAGGTTGGACTAGAAAATCATCAAGCTTCCTCCACAGAGTTTTTTACTACTCTGTGAGTTCCTGGGTTGGAGCACCTGGCAGTTGCTCCACTTCAAACAAACAAACAATAACAACAAAAAAACAAATGAATGAACAAACAAACAAAGCATCATTTCTACAATGGCAGTGAAGAGAACCACATAGCCTGCCAGAGCCTCACTTCTCTCAAAGTGCATCATTTCTACAACGGCAGTGAAGAGAACCACATAGCCTGCCAGAGCCTCACTTCTCTCAAAGTTACTTTACAATCACCATCAGTTTGGGGCGTAACCATAAACCTTGCACTAATCCAACTTCTTACATGCCATGCATGCATTAGGTGTTCAGTGCAATTCTTGTGAATTGAATCAGACTCAAATTGACTAATTGAATCCTGGCCCCAGAGTACAAATTCCCAAAATATTCAGTCAGTCATCTGTGTGCCAGCCAGGGGATTCTCTTTTGAAGAGGATAGCCCAGGCTCCTGGATTTGCGGTTTCCCTAACTTTGGACAACTGCCTAGAGACTTGTCTCTCTCCAGGGAGATGTCAGATTCTCATAAGACAGTCTACCAGGAAAAAATGCCTGAAAGAAATCCTAGAGAATGCATCTTTACCCTTTACTCTCCATATATCCATTCTACCTGGGAGTGGGGCCTGAAAGATACGGTACCTAAAGGAGAAAGGGTTCACTATGAGTACATTGAATAGCAGGAGTCCAACCCAGCAAGACCTAGCTACAATCCCTGACTGAGAAGAAGAGCAGACATGGTTTTCATGTGGACACATGGACTTGTAGGGGTGCTGTGCAGCCATGATAGAGCCTTGGGCAAGAAAGCACTGGGCATTTTTCTTTCTTATACCCCTGCCACCCCAGTCTTGTCAGAATTTCTACAGTGACTTCAAATTCCGGGATTCCAATTTACCTCATAGCAGACAGACCAAAATACTTAGCTACTTGGTACTCTTTCATTGATGGAAGGTTATGGAGGGGAGGGCCGTGGTGTAATGGCTTCATAGGGGAAATCCAAGGAGTCTGACTCTACCACTCCTAGCTCATGTCATCATGCCTTCTACCTCAATGGACACTGGCATCCTCCCAGTGCTTCGTTCAATGCCACCTCCAAGACCTTCCGGTACCTGGAAGGCTTTGCCACTATAGGGTCTGAGGTCTGCTCTCTGGCAGGGCCATGATCAAGTGACAGATATCCTCGTTTCAGGATGTAGGATGTGCACACGTGCCTAGCCCAAGGCCACATAGGTGTTGTTGGGATTCACATGTACCTGTTTCTCACATCCAGAGCTTCTGTGCCAAGGATCAGAGCTGGGCCTGCCTTCAGCAAGAATATGGCCCTCTTAGGCCAGGGACCTCCAGCACCTCTCCTTAGCAGAGCTGCCCACACCCAGGACTCAGATGCCCATCATCCTGGAATGCCGAAGGGCCTATTCCTCGGGTGTGGGGACCTATCCCTATGACAGAGCAAGGCAGACAGAGGATGCTGTCTGTTGCAGGATGTAGTTACTCTTGTCAGCAGGAGATGATCAGCCTCCAATTTCTAGGCTTTAGAGATGCTCACATCCCGATACTACCTCGGGACACCTGGGAGCCCATCCTCTGACAGAACTGCCCACCATCCCATCCTACAGGGTGGGCTGCCCCTTGGAATGCCACCCTTCTGTAAGGTGAGGTAGCACTCACCACCAGGCCCTGGGTTTGGCCCCCATTCCTGGCCTAGTCGGCAACTCCTACCTTTGCTGAGCAGCTCCCAGCTCCTATGTGATAGCTGCTCTCAGCTGATGCTTCTCCCAGGCTGCTGAAGCCTGAACCACTGCAGTAAGCGGAGAGAGGCAGCCAGCAGAGCAGGATGCTCAGAGAGCTTCTGGGTCCTAGTGGCCTCCTGCTTTCCACCAGCCCCTTAGAGCCACTTCTGGAGCAAACAGCTGGGCCTCAGGGCTCCCAGGCAGAGTGCTCTGGAAGCTTCCTCCCTCATATTTCTCTCAGGGTTCTGGACTACATCTCAAAAACTTCCAGGAGCCAGCTCATGACAAGCAGGCAGGGGAAACCTCCCAATCGGCCTGATAAAGAAAAAGCCCTGGGCACTTAATAGCTAAGTTACCTTGGGCAAGTCATTTCCATTTGGCCTTTGTTTCTTATCTGTTCAATAGGATTATGGTATAGATGATCCCTGAGGTTTCTGACAGCCATATTGTTTATTGCATGGTTCTGTATGATACCAGAACAAAGGTGCTCCTGTAGCAGGCAGATCAGTGCACAGCCAGAACCCCGAGACTATACTTTCAGAAAAGCTGAGGCAACTGAGGAGGATTCATGGTTTGACTCCTTCACAAAGTAACAAATTCGTATAGCAGACAGATTAAGGGGTAGTAGCTCCTTTGAAGAGGAGCCAAAGGCCCTGCACTTGTCTCCACCCAGAGCATACCACTATTATTCTTAAACTGTATCTTTATTTGGAATGAAGCTGTGAGGGCTGTGGAGAGGGGAATCTGACATCTCCTCAATTATCACACCTCTGCTCCATGAAGGAGGTATAGAAGCCAGATTCTCAGGAAGGCTCATCTTGGTCCGTATTTGAGCTGGGAGCATCACTCACAGAGTGTCACCACTGTGTGACGAACCCTTAGAAAGCAGAGAAGGAGTCTGGGCTCCTGCTAGCTAAGAAGGACATTGTCAGTGACTGATACCAAGAATAGGTGCTTACACAGCAGTTTAAGATTCCACAGAATATGTGCTCAGTAGTTTCTCTCTTCTAGGTTTGTTTTACGTGTACGGGTGTTTTGCCTGCGTACATTCGTGTGCACCTCCTGTGTGCTGCCCATGGAGGTCAGAAGAGGATGTTGAATCCTCTGAAACTTGAGTTATGGATGGTTGTGAGCTATCGTGTGGGTGCTGAGAACCAAACCTGGGTCCTCTGTAAGAGCAACAAGTGCTCTTAACTACTGAGCCAACTCTCTTGCCCCAAGGCATCCATACTCTGGAGGTGAAGATATTGCCTCAAGTCTACACCCCAGGTAACAAAACCACTAGCTTCAACAGGGAATTCAGATCAGATCTGGAGCTACCCCCAGAGCCTCTGGGGGAGTTGCCTGCATATTGAACACTTCCTTCTGGCTCCAAGGGAATTCTAGAATTGTTTACTAGATCTTACCCAGGGGACTCAGAAGAACAATCTGGTTGTTGTTGTTGTTATTATTATTATTATTTATGGTTTCTCTGTGTAACATAATGGAACTTGCTTTGTAGACTAGACTGGCCTTGAACACAGAGATCTGCCTGCCTTTACCTCCCACGTACTGGGATTAAAGGTGTGTGCCACCACCCATTGAGTTCGGCCAAGAGAACTGAAGCCCTAAAGCTGGTAAGTATCTGGGCTACCACCAGTCCCTATCTCTGAATTCTTAGTGAGTGGCAGAAGCATGGCCTATGACATCTTCAGTCCTCATGCCAATGTTTAAGGCAGCAATTACCTCCAAGGAAAAGAGGGTACAAGGTGAAGTGACTTTGCCCAGACCATATACAGCCAAAAGTGATATTTGAATCCCAGTCTGTCTGAAGATAAAATGTTTTCTCAGTCGTCCCTGGTCGCATGGCCTCTCTGGAGTCCTGATGTGACGATAAGACAAAGGCACAGATTGATACAGGACCCAGAAATCCTTCCAGGGATTCAGAGAGAGCTAAAGTAGACAGGAT